GATAGTTTCCTATAGTTTTCTCCAGTTTTCCCCAAAGTTTCAGCCAGATTGGAACACTCTCCCAGTTTTCGCGGAGTTTTTTTTTTCCTTTTTTGCCGACTCCCTGAATAACCCCATTATACAAATGTATTTATTACCTGTATAAAAGTGTTTGTATGTGGCTTGAACTAAAACGTTTGCTCAACCGAAATTCGATTCGGAGCACAGGCATACAACGTGTTTGAGAAACGTTTCTCAGCTCTTTGGAGCTCAAAACTTCGAACAGTTCTCCCCCGCCGTTTTTTCGCCTCCTTCGCAGACAAATTTGAGAGTTTTTTCGAGTATTTCACACAGTAAACACAAATTTGCCAACATTTTGCTTTCAACTGTTTCGTATTGTTTGCCATTGAAAATGTGTTCCAGTTGTTTAGGGGTTAAGCTCCGCCCACTATTGCAGGGTGAAAAGAGGAGCGAGAGAATCAAATGAATTCAGTTGGGTTGGTTTTATATTTAGACTTGGTTTCTCATGTCATTCGAAACACGAGGATGAAAATGATTAATTTCAATTTCGAAATCTGCGAGATTTCATGTGATCTTTTCTAATGACATATCCTTTTCGAACACAGTCCCATATGAAGATTATAAGATTTTCGTAATTTTTGCAGTTCTATTTTTCAGAGAGAAAAAATAATTGAACTCATGGGAACTTATATGTAAAAATTGTTTTTTTATCCGAATTGATGGAAACATTTTTAAGTTTTATGTTTATAGAACTGAAAACCCAAAAAAAATTGTAGAATTTCGTAAATTTCAATAACAATAATTGTTTGGGGTTCCTTTCCAACCAAGTCTTAACATTCCTAATAGAATCGTTGCTTCGGCATCAATTATCTCTGTTCTCGTAGTTACTGTATTAGCACGAATAGAAATCCACGTTATACATACAATTTGAGGTCAATTAACTTCATTCGATTCTTAAAAACATAAAAAAGAACCATGATCTGATAAAAAAGATTCAGAAGAAACGTTGTTTTAAATTCTTTTAAATCTGCAACTCTTCGGATTTTCAGATACCGTAAACACTCTGATAGGATGAGAAAGATATCAAAAAATGGTTCACTGAAAAAATGTTATAATATCACAATTTTTTATAAGTTAACCACTTTTTTTTCATTCTTCACAAGATCTATGGTAAATTGATTCAAGGTAAAAAAACTTGGGGTCATTCTATTAGAGTTGCTACGGTATTCGATTGGCTTTTCGGTAGCAGCCGAAAGCTCAAAACTTGAATTGACTTATTTCAAGGTTGCTCAAATAAACTCTTCAGTAGAACATAATGAAAATTCCAATACTCTCCTTTATTTTTGCAATTATCGGTTCTTTAGTGCTTATTTTGAACAATAACGTTCATACTTATTGACGAAATCCCATCTCAGTAGCTGTGCCTTTCTCTCTGTGTACCAATAGGATATTTGAAATACCAGTAAGCTTTTCTCTCCTCTCCTCATCCGCCCCTCTATTTTCATTTGTCTTGTCAATCGTCCACTTCTCGCTGTTCTTTTTCAACTTACCGCCCTCCGCTTTTCAAATAATTCGTCATCTCTTCTCAATTTTTTGCACCTAAATCCCATATCCAATAGTTTCCTTTCTCATCTACTTACCAGATCTTTTTTCTTTGTTAAACCTTCTTCTTTTTTTTCTTTTTCACTTTTCGATAGTTATCTACCTCATGTGTCTTTTCCTTGAAAAACCGGGTGCCCTCACCAACCGACATGAATTTCGTCAAAATTTTAGTGTCCTCTGACAACCGAAAAAATATGAAATCTTTTTGTGTTCAAACCCGTTTTTTTCGGTTCTGAAAAGAAGAGGAAGATGACAGAAAAAATGGACAAGTAATCGGAAAAAAGTGACCATAGGAAATTCAATTTTCAAAAAAGAACGGACAATGAAGATGAAGAATTGGATTCGAGAGAGCAAACGGAGTAGAATTTGAACTATAACTGGATTGAAAATTGGATTGGGGTCAAATTTTTTGCAATTTCGTCTTTTTTGGGTCAAAAATCAAGTTTAGATATCCCTTGAATCAAGGAACTTGATACATTTCCCTTTTGAACAAATATCAAAACGACATCTCGACAATTTGAGGGCAATAAATATTTATGATTTTATTTCCAAAAAACTGGCAGTTTATGGGTATCTAAACCAGAATATATACGCTCGTTTCGATATGGTTGTTTCGAGATGAAATTATTGTTTTCGTATTATTAATTGGATCCAGTCTTTCTATGGATTCAATTCAAATGGAATAGGTGATTGTCAAAGGCATTCGGATTTGAATTTATTGGATCCGACAAAAAAGCTGTATGAAATATATTTTATATTCCAATTCTGCAGACTTGTTGGGACACGAAAATATCAATTTCTACAGTAAAACCTATATTAGAAGGGCCCCACACTGTCAATTTTTAGCTTAATTATCGGCTCCTATAAGAGATATCAAAAATGTGTAAACTGACAAAAGATTTTTGGTTTTTTGATAATCAATCTATCAGTTGAGAACTTTTTGATATCTTTGACAGGAACCGAGAAAAGTTGGGTAAAAGATAAAAGTTGGGGGGCCTTTCTATTACAGGTTTTACGGTATTACGAATTATTAGATTTGATGGGAAATGAAAAGATCAATTTCCAATTTTGTTTCATACTTGATGACCTTGGATTTTTTTCGTTTTGCAAATATTTGGTAATTATTTCAAAGTACCATAAAGCCTCTAGAAGAGCCCTTAAACTGTTAAGTTTCAGCTCAATTATCTCAACCCCGATATCAAAAGTGTGTCAACTGACACAAACACTTCTGATATTATGATAAGCAATTTATCAGTTGACAACTTTTTCATATCTTTGACAGGAACAGGCAAAGTTTGGCTAAAAGTTAAACGTTAGGGTACCCGAAAATTCCAGAAAGTTTTTTTATAGTTTATAATACTCAGTTTTATATTTACTTGATTACTCAGATTTGTATTGTTTTGCAACTATTCGGTAATTACTTCAAAGTATCTAAAAGTTCCAGAAAGTTCTTTTTATTTCCTCTGATTTCATCCTCCTCGGTGTCTTCTCTATTGTCCAAGTGGTTTCGGTACTTGACACCCTCCCTCCTCTTTTTTCTTCTCCTTCCACCTTTCCGTCTGCCATCCTCGTTCAATTCGATTTCATCTCAATGGCAACAGTATCCAATATCCTCCTATTCTCCTCC